TCTGCATGTCCCCTCTGTGGTGACTCTGAGTCAGTCACATGGAGCACGCTACCAGGTCCTGCCCCAGGCAGGTTCTACCACCAAGCACGTGCCCTTGGATTCTCTTTCCCAAAGAGCCTGTACTTCTGTGCAGGTTTTATTACAGTTTTGGACATGAGGCCTCTCTTTAAAGCTTTGGAGAGATGAAGGGCAAGGATCACACTTCATCCATAAAAGAATACAACCCAACAACCACCACAGGACCATTAGATGATGTCACAGGGAGGAAACAAAAACCTATCAAAACATACTAATTTAGAAATTAACGAACTCTTACTTATCACTTAAATTCTATGGTTATAACCAGAGGTGTGGCAGCAGAGGCCTGCTCACTGCTGAGCAGGAGTGCTGGGGAGATCACCCTAGGCCTAGGAAGCTGGATTGGGGGGAGGGGTCTCCAAGGGCCCTTTAAGTTCTAACAGATCCCCCATACTGTGACGCAAGTATCCAGGGACAGCTCATCACTGCTTGGTGGTTGGGTGCCCCACCTCCCCAAGCTCAAACAAGAGCAGTTTCATCTTCTGTCACTGTGTCCCTTGCATCCCTCCCTCTGCACGGTGCTAGCCTAGGGCCTAGGGATATAAGAGATACGTCTCAAATGCATGTCTGTCAAACACCTGGAGGCCATGAGCAGCAACAGTGCATTAGGAGAGGAAGCAACTTGGCATGGGGGAGGGGGGAGGCTGAGAGCAGTGGCCATTAGTCTTCTGCTTTCCCTAATGTGACCTCAGGGGCAGAAGAAGAGAGAACAATGAAATCACCAGTGTCCTAACTGGATTTAGAGAGTCAAGTCAGAAAAACCCTCAGGGGCACAGGCTGCATTAGTAGAGAATCCAGGCTCTGCAGGGAGAGATGTTGCTAAAGGAGTGAAATAGGCTTTAGGTGAAGGGATCCCGACCCAGCTTAGACCACACATCCTGCCTTTCCAAACCCTGCATGGTGGTCAGGAGCATCAGGGAGTCTCCCACAGCCCCGTGGGGATCCCAGGAGTCTGGACAGTGAGTAGAGCTGCCACCAGGGATGGGGAGGGGCCCACTCACTTATTGCAGTGCTGTTTGAGGTGTTTCTTATAGCCGTCATCATGGAGGACTACCTCGGGGTTGCAGGTGGCCAGCCAGTCTGCATTCTTTAACTCTGGGAGCAGCAGCTGGTTCTTTGTCTTCTTCCCCTTCCTCCCTCTGGGGACTGGAGCAGACAACCCTGTAGCAGAAAGGCAGGTAGATGAGCCTAGGCAGCTTAAACATGGGGAACAGAACAGAGCTGGGCTGGGGTTGAAAAGAGGCAGCCAGGCTGTGCGTGGTGGCCTGGATGACAGACCCCACTCCTTGGTCCACCAAGCAGTGCCAATAGTGAGGAGAAACGCCTGGCCCCCAGCTCAGTCAACTCCAGCAGCGTTCAGTCAGGCAGTAGGAATTTACCCAGGCAGATCAAGAACATCACGTGTGCCCCTTGGGGAACTTATAAGCTGGCCAGGAAAAAAGGCACACTTAACCTGAAACGTGAAGGTGGGCTACGGCCAAGCACAGGGAAGGAAAAGCACAGCACAAGAAAAGGCACAGACAGGTAGGACTGGGACAGAATAGTGAAATGCAAAAGAAAAACCATAGTGCACATGGTGTGACCCCGGTTCAAAGAAGGAACCCTGTGACGCTCAGGTCAGTGCACAGGACGGGCACGTGGGAAACCTCAAGAAGGCCCACTGTACTTCCACAAGATGGTATACGTAACACTGGATGATGCTGAGGGAGAACTGAAGCAATCACCTTCCTCTCCCACAGCTAACATTCTCCAATGTATCTGAGAAAGAGAAGTCTCCCAAAGCACAGCAACCTGGGGCAACACAGGCAGAAGGATGGAAGCATACAGGAGCTCCCGCTTCTCAGGCATGACCCTGCCACCGCTCACCTGAGTGGTTCTGGAGGGTCTGGGCCTGCCCATCTTTGGTAGGTGTGATCAATTCCCAAATGAAACTCTTGATCTTCTCATCCCCCTTGTAATGCTTGACACAGTATACCAGCAGGGCCCGGCAAATCATCTCCATGTCCTTCTCATTCAGATGCCACTTGAATCGCCCATGAGTCAGGATGTCCTTCCACCGGCCCCAGCTGAGAGTGGAAATACAGAAGGGCATTGGAGAGAGGAAGGGCCACGTGTGCCCTCAACACTGCAGGACAAACAGGAGCCAAGAGTGCTTCTCATCCTCTGTCGGGTCTACTCATCACCCTCAGGGCTTAGCCCTGAAAGGCCTCCAAGGACCACATGCTGCAGCACACCAAATGTCACTAAGGTGACCTGGACAGTGAGAGCTTCCTATAGCCACCAGAATGTTAACAAGGGAGGGATGAAACTATTTGGAGCAGGGAATAAATTTGGAATTAAGAGAGTCCAGCTGCAGTATTCAAAAGCAGTGGTGAGCTCTCAAAAGCTAAATCTTCTACTTCTACCAGAACCAGAGCCCTGCACAAATCATGCCCTAACTGTAACATCTGTTGCGCGGACTCCTCGTACGTGCCTGGGGGCGGGGAGTGGGGGGGAGCAGGAAATCAGTACCAGGCAGCAAATTAGTAACAGAGATTTGCTGAAACAAGCACATGAGAAAACCATGGCACGTCTACAATATGGCAGCAGAGTGAACAATGACTGAGGGGGCCATGAGCAAAACGCACAGTTCTCTCCTGCTCTAACAGACCCTTCATCAGCGCGGAGCTCTTAGAGGTGACGGGAGAGACAAACTGGACAAATCTCAGGGACTGGAAAACAGTAACACATAGGCAAAGCCGATACCCACCCAAAGATGAGCAGGTTCTTCTCCACCCGGAAGCACTCAGCTCGGAGGTAGCGCCTGGTTTTGTCATTGAGGCGTCTGGACCTCGTGGGCCTTTCATCTGAGTCACTGTCTAGCTCGGAGAACTCCATGAGCTCATCCTCCTCAAAGGAATTGTAGTGTTTGGTCTGCTTTCTCACTCGAGGCCGGTCGATCACTAAGCTCTCCTAGAAACAGAGAGGTCGGTTGGGGAGAGAGCCCTCTTTGCTCTACCCCCATCACAATGCACACGCATATCCTGTGGCTGGTCCTGGGTCCTGAGGACACATCCGGTAGAAAACCACAAGCGGCCTCATCCTCCAGCAGGAAAGGCCCTTCCCAGTACACCTCCCATGACCACGACAAGCAGAGTGAATTCTCGGAGACTCACTGGAGATGGCACGCTCCCCCAAGACCCCAGCGCTGCCCACCACCATCTGCTCTTTCTGCAGTCCTGCCAGCAGAGCAGGTATGGGGAACAAGGCCCCCCAGTGCCCAGAGTGGCAGTCTGCTCTTGCCAAGAAAGGCTGGAGTGGCACACCCCAGCTGTTGCCCAGCATGCAGGGGCAGCCTGCACTCTAGACAGGAGGAGCTGGACAAATCCATCTGCTCAGCAACTTTCTGAAGACATACACATTCCTTGCTTCTTTACTCTCTGTCTTCCATGAGCACTAACTGCTAACCTTTTGTCTTTCACTGAAGACATGATCCCCAGCCCAGGATCCTCTGCTCATTCTGGCAGCTCCTCTGAGAGGAGAACCATCCATGCCAGAACCATCGCCTCTTTAATAGTCCCCATAAGCTCCTGCTCCTTTTCCTTCCCCCCTCCCCCGTACCTCTTCCCAAAGCTCAGCTCAGCTCCTAAATACTTGTCTGTGTAGCCCCAATACACAGTGGCGTTACCCCTGCTTCAGTCCCCTTGCTCCCTGCCTTGTACGCTCCAGCTGCTTCTAAAGGTCTCTAAGGACAAGAGCTTTTTCTCCCCACCCTCGCCCACTGTCCAGCACACAGAGTAACTTCTTGATTGTGACCTTGTAAAACAGGTTTTACTAAACAGGTTACTCAAGGGACTTCAGACTCTTCCTACAGAAGAGAAGAGGGTGGACTGAGCAAGCTCTGGTGATCCCACGGAAGTGTTAAGGCTGGGTGCTGGTTACTGAATCAGCTAGCTATGTGCAGGGACTGTCTCCTGGGCTCGTGGATCCACAGGGGTTCAACAGCCACCAGAGAAGACAAGTAGAAAGTGATGTGTGTGCATCCCGGCGTGAGGTGACAGGGCCAGGGATGGAGGGAAGGGATGAGATGAACACTTAAGGGGTGCCTCCCCACAGGCTAGGCAGGTGTATTCACAAATATCGCCAACTCTGCGAGGGGGTGTCACCACCTCCTTTTGTCCCATGTCTTGCTCACTTATCTCAGTGGGGTCAACTGCCTTGCCCAGAGGCACACAGTCGGAGGCGGACTGACACCAGACTCTGGTTTCATTCCAGGGCTATTCTCTTTCTCGTGTTCAGAAGTAGAAGAACTCAAGATACTGAAAGAATGGAGGGGAGACCAACGAAGTCCCTCATGCTGCTTTGTCTCCTCTGGAGTATTTGTCACAGGTGAAGTTTCTTTCATAGGAAGTATTGAAGCAGAGGTAAAACAGTCACATGCCAAGGATGGAATGCTGGCTTGGGTCAGAGGGCTGAACTTGACCTGTGTGTGGTCAGTCCCAGTTCTTTTTTAAATTTTTTAATTTATTTTTATTTTTTTAAAAAAAGATTTTATTTATTTGACAGAGACACAGCGAGAGAGGGAATACAAGCAAGGGGGTGGGAGAGGGAGAAGCAGGCTTCCCGCTGAGCAGGGAGCCCGATG